CACTGCTCACGTCATTCCGTGGTCAAAGCTCCTGCTATTGATTTTTTGAAGTCGCAGGCCTGGGCCTGGGTGAAAGAACAAAGTAAACCAGTGTTAACTTATGTGTGTGTTCACTTTATTGGTTCATATGGCGCTCTCCACCTGGCTTTGTTGGCATTTCATGTGCTGTCAGGTCTGGAAGTTGAGGAATCTTCTTGGCTGCAAGTGGGATCCCGTGAAGATTCACCAAGATGCCTGGGCTTTGAAAAAGATCTTCTCATACAGTTTGAGGCGAACCGGCTTAGACAGCAGGCATGGCCCCGAGTACACTCCAACTCGGAAGGCAATCTGGATGGTTTAAGACATATGTTTTCTTTTTTGAACATATTTGTAAAACAATATTGAACTATAGCACAAGGTTTAGTGATAGGCTGCGGTCCAAGCCCAGGCATTCGGTGTGACTGAGTACTTTGACATCATCAACAAGCATTGGGGTGAAGCTTTGAAAAAGCTGCACGAGGAGCGTGCTGCACGGAGGAAAGCCTTGCCTGACACCTCGGCAGTTGATGAGTCTCCAATTGAGATTGCTGATGATGACGGGGCGGATCTCGTTTTGTTGGAGCATCAGTCCCTTGAGCAAGCAGAGCGGGGAATCGTCAGTGAGACCATGGATGTTGATTGCGGCGACCCAGCAAAGCCTTCACTCAAAGAAGTCAATGACAGGATTGCACGGGTCAAGCAGCTTGTATCCTATTTGGTTAGTTTTTTTCAGGCCATGAACTGCCGCCACAACTCTATAGTCGATAGGTTGTATATGTTGCTTTTGATATCTTTTGATCCATGTGTTCCATCTGCCGCAGCCGAGGCATGCTCTGGAGCAAAGGCGCCTGGCCCACGCGGTGGCAAGCTCCAAAGAGTCCGTTGACACGATGGATACTCAGGGCTACGATTCCAATGCAGCGGCTGCTGAACACTCGCAGTTTGACCCATACCAAATTCCAGTGGGAGCTGTTCTTGATTTTGACGGTCAGAGGGCCAAACCTTTTGCGATGTGCGGTGCATCACATGATGAAGAGAAGGCTCTACTTGATGCTGAGGCTCAGCTTCTTTGCCTAAGAGCTCAGAAGGAGAAGGATGCTGAGGAAAGGCTTGAACGTGAAAGCGAGGAGAAGTCTGGTGTTGAGCAATGTGAAGCTCAACGTGCGGCTGAGGAGAAGGCCCAGCGTGAAGCTGAGGAGAAGGCTCAGTGTGCAGCTCAGGTGAAGGCTCAGCGTGAAGCTCAGGAGAAGGCTCAGGCTCAGCGTGAAGCTGAGGAGAAGGCTCGGCGTGAAGTTGAGGAGAACGCCCAGCGTGAAGTTGTGGAGAAGGCCCAGCGTGAAGCTCAGGAGAAGGCTCAGCTTGAAGCTGAGGAGAAGGCACGTCTTGATGATGAGAGGCAGCAAGAACTTCGTCGTGTGGCTCTTCGTGAAGCTTCGGAGAAGGCTCGTCTTGAGGTTGAGAGGCAGGAACTCCTTCTTCGCGAAGCTCAGAAGAGAGCTGAGGCTCAGCGTGAAGCTGAGGAGAAGGCTCAGCGTGAAGCT